TTTTTTGCTCATTTCTACACTTCACTTGAATTATAACATATTAAAATGCAGAGATACATATCAGTGAGAGAAAAGATATTTCTCTGCGTATTTTGTCAGGCAAAGAGAGAAATTTGTGTTTTAGAAGAAAAGCCCAGTATCAGTGTTGTTGAGTTGGCTCCAATAGGTGCTGTTGAGTTGGCTCTGACTCTAGGCGGCCCTGTGAAGGAGAGATGTCCTCAGTGTCTTGTCCGCAACAGCTCTGCTCAGCTCCTGTAGGCTCACACCTATGGCTTCTTTTATAGAATTAATCCATTTCATAATGGGTCTTCCTCTTTTCCTGCTGCCTTCTATTTTCCCAGAATCATTATCTTGTCCAAAGAACCCTGCCTTCTCATAATGTGCCTGAAGTACGACAGTTTCAGTTTTGACATTTTTGCCTCCAGCAATGTTTCAGGTTTAATTTACTCTGTGTCACCTGACCTAAATTGGGTTAGCTGTATGTACCAATTTTTCCCTAATACGCCCACCCTGAAATGTTTGTTCATTCATTGAACAGTAGATATTACCATCTTTGTGGGAAGATTTGCTGTTCCTAGAGGGATACAGTGTGGCTTACTATCTGAAGGAAACCTTTTGCTTTCATCTTATTTATTGGTGAGAAATATAGAAGTCCAAAGACCATGACCTAAACAAGGAACCGAAGGAAATGCTTCTCTCATGCTTTCTATGACCTTTCATTTAGCTTGATCTTTGTCTTTCTTTGCCCATTAAATGAACTTTGTTTTGTTTTTGTTAGATAGAGCATGTGGTATTTGGAGAAATACCTAGTGATCTTTCTGGAACTTTGGTCTTTTCTAACCGCTCCTTGCGACAGCTTCAAGATCGAATTGTACAGCTCCAGGAGGAGAATTCCAAGCAACAAAAACTTAACAAAGAATTCCGGGAGAGGAGAAAACAGCTTATCCGAGAAAAGAGAGAGATGTCAAAAACTATAAACAGTGAGTAACTAAGCTCATGAATTATCTAGTAATATTTATTGGTATTTATTGATAAGTTATATTTATTGATAAGAGGGCACTCCCAAGTGACTGTCTCCAACTTTGAAAGAAGTCAGTAATCAAAGAATCCAGAAGAAACAAGAGCACCTTCTCATCTTCCTACTTACTGTCTCTCCTGATACCATTAAATTATCGCTTTTCTATCTTAAAGGGACAAATAAGTCTTTTATCACAGAAATGGTTTCTCTGAATTATAAAAGGTCTTATGTATAATTAAATATAGAATAATATAATAATAATCCATGTACCATTATCAAGCTTAAGAAATGTAACACTGAAGATACAATTGAAGGCCCTTCTCTTTCTAATCCTATTCTGCTATCCTCTTCCTCAGGTTCAAGCACCAGGTGAGTACGCACATATGTGTTTGCATCCACACACAATATATGAACCAACTTTGCATACTTTTAACTATAATACTATATTATTCATATAAATTTACAGTTCACTTAATTAAACCAGCTTTTTAGAGTTATCCATATTGCTACAATAATTATTCATTTTAACTGCAATTACAGTATTCCATTATAGAATTATAAAAGAGCTTATTTCTTCAGTCTCCTTTTGATATTTAGGGTATTTCTAATTTTTCAGAATTACAGACAGTGTTACAGTTAATCTTCTTGTACATGTTTCCCAGTGCACGTGTGTGAGAGGGTAAATCCCAGGACAGGGGTTTCTAGGTAATAGGAGGATGTGTGTATTTTCAGCTTTCCAGGATATTTCCACGTTGCTCTCCAAAGTGGTTGTACCATCTTAGCTTCCCCCCTGGCAGGGTGTGCGAATTGCCCAGGCTTCGTTTTGTCATCAGTTCTTGATATTATCAGACTTTAATATTTTTGCCAACCTGGTAGATGTTAAGTTGCATTTCATTATGTTTTTTGTTTTGTTTTGTTTTTTAGCTGAGCCATCCTGCCACCTGTTGGCAGCAGCTCAGCTCAGGCCGGGCATCGAACTGCTGTTGCTCAGAGCTTGCACTCTTGAGCAAGGTCTTAACCAACTGAGCCACTCGGCTGGCCCTTTCACTGTGATTTTTATTCACATTTCCTTGATTCTGGTGAGGTTGAACAGCTTCATGCATATCTATTTGTGTTTCCTTTTCTGTAACTTGCCTGTTATATTCGTTACTCATTTTTTATTTCTAGTTTTTGTTTCCTTATTGATTTTAGGGAGTTCTTTCTATATTCTGTCTTTCTTTGTCCATTAAATGAACTTCAAATCTCTTCTAGTTTGAGGCTTGCTTTTTTACTTTGTTGAGTGTATCTTTTTGGGATATAGACATTTTAAATCTTAATGTAGTTAATCTTAGTTTATTTATGGTTTGTGCATTGTGTGTGTGTGTGTGTGTGTGTGTCTTGTTTAAGAAATTCTTTCCTATCTTGAGGTCATAAAGATATTTTTCTATAGTTTCCTTTTTTAGTAGTGTTCCTCACATTTATGTTTTTAATCTACCTGGAATTGAGGTAGAGACTATAAGATGCATAGTGTAAAGATAATTATCTTTTAAAATACTTTTTATAATGTTTGCTATATGAAACATGTGCAAGTGATGAAGTATTCTAGCTTTAATAAGAATAGTATCAATACCATAGCACCTACCTTAATGCCACAGAAGTGTACACTTAAAAATGATTAAAGTGGTACATTTTATGTTATGTGTATTTTACCACCATTAAATAACAATTATTTAAAAGAAAATTTGAACAAGTAAAAGAAAATGGAAATTATATAGTGGTCAAGCAATCTAAATTGCTGGGATATGTAGAGGCCCGTTTCCAATAAGTGCTGATTGTTCTGTCCTCATGGGTGGCTGGATTATAAAATTAAAAAACTGCATGTTAGTACTCCATGTTTGCATAACACTTACTTGAGACACAGAGTTTTCTCAGGTGTAAGTCTTGAGGTTCCAGTGTTTCTCACGTACTTCACATTCCTTTGGCTTCTGTAGCCTGCGAGTGTTATTTATATTTGGAAGTACTATTCGTCAAACCAAGGTGTAAACTAGTACAAAAATGAGGAAGCTTGTTTTGGTTTGGGTAAACTCAGTTTGGGAAAATGTGTGAAGAAAATGAAATGAAGTATTCAAATTTTTGGAGTATTAGTTGAAATAAAAAGAAATATTGGGTTGTCGGAAAAGTTATGANAAATTTTTATTTGCATTTCTCTGATGATTAGTGATGTTGAGCATCTTTTCATATGTCTATTGGCCATGAGTATGTCCTCTTTGGAGAAATGTCTATTCAGACCCTCTGCCCATTTTCTAATTGGATTGTTTGTTTTTTTGTTGTTGAGTTGTATAAGTTTCTTATATATTTTGGATATTAACCAAAGGAGAGTCTTTGTCAACTAACACCCCCAGCAGGATTTGGTACAGGATCTCTAAATCAAACATTTCAATACTTCTGTAGCAAGACAAGAATAGTCATGCTAAGTAGTTTAAATAAAGATTATAAATAGTATTACTTCAGTTCAGAAAGTTGCGAAAATCTTCTTTCAGAGTACTGTGATTTAGGAACTATGGACCTATATATTCAAGTGTGTGTTAGGTGTGTCACAGCATAAGCAGTTTGGCAGCTTGGTTTCAACCCTCTCTGATTTGATGCATTGAAATTAATTGCACAACCTTCTACAGGCATTTGAGTTTGTGGTCTCCATGTCCTTAACCATTTAAAACTCTTCTAAAAATATTGAGTAATTTCCTTCTTTATCTCTGTTATTTTCCGAGTGACTAACTCATTGCCAAATACTTTACTTTAAAAATCTGGGATTTCAGATTTCAAAAATCAGGATCTGCTGCTTATTAACATTGTTCCCCTCTCTCCTTAGATGAAGATGAGGAGAGTGATGAATCAAGTGAAGAAGAATCCAGCTTGGAGAGTGGTGAGGATGAATCTGGATCTGAAGATGAGGTTTTTGATGATTCTGTCTGCCCAACAAGTAAGTTGGATGAAACCATGTGTTTTCTGTGAAGTGTGAATGTGGATTGAATGTACCAAAAAGGTCCTTTTTTTTTTTTTTTTTGGTTTCTCAATTGTCTCATTTAAGGAAAGGGTGTTTTTATGATACCTATATGAAGCATAGTCTAATGAATACTTTTGGGGGCTCTGTGGATGATTATTTTCTGTTCCTTTAGGCAGCCACATATGAGTGACAAATAATCTGCAGACAATCTTAGTTGATTCAGTCATTCCATTATATAGCAAGTTACATTTTAGAGAAACAAGATTGTTATATATATTTTTTCTTTTTAACAGTTCTCCCTGTTTGACAAACTCGTGCAAATTTTCATGTTTCAGATCTGTTTTGTAAGGGCAGTTTGTACCAGTTTCCTGGAGATGCTGGGCAGTTTATATTTACTGTTTTCACCGGTAAAACCAGTCTGAAGCATCCTAACCAATATTCTTACAGTCTCAATAGATGAATGGCTTAGTAGGAAAAAAAAAATTTCTTTTCGATCTGAAATTTGTTTTTCTAGACATTTCATATACATTTTAAATCAAAATTGAAAATTTAATTTCAAATAATGTTTAAGTCTTGTTTTGACTTTGAAAATAAGAGTCTTCTTAAAATCATAATAGTTATGGGTGGACAAGAGTTAAAAAAAATCTCGTGGCATAACTTGTTTTTTTTTGTAGCAGGATTATATGGCTTGAACAGAGTCTCAAAGCTAGTTTAGTGGTAGAAGGAGAGTTAGAACTAAGGTACCTGAATTCCAATGTAGTACTCTGCTATATTTTCACATTTTTTATCTATTGCTTGGTGGATAACTGTGACTGTTAGTGTGATATAGTGGAAATCAATACAGAGATACTCTACTTGAATCCCATTCTGTCACATATCAGCTATGTGACCTCTGAAATGTAGCATCCTCATCTTTAAAATGAAAATAATAAGAGGGCCGGCCGAGTGGNTGAGTTTTATTCCATGACTTACAGGCCTTCTCTCACCTCCAGCCCATTTTCTGAAAGCAAGTTATGAATCTGGTTAAAGGCTGATTCCCTAATTCTGAATGTGAAACTAGGAATGGGTTCATTTCCTGTAACCCAGAGAAAAACGCCCTAACAGTGATGAGGAACACCACTGTAAGCTTGTTGTTGCTTTCCCCATCCCTAGACGCAGTGGGGAGAAGAGGAGTGTCTATAGCATGGGATTGGGAAGGAGTAAGTTCACTCCATTCCCAGGAGGGCACAGCTCATGGCCATGGGGAAGGTGGGTGGTGCATGTTCCAGGGCTTTCATATCCCCAATGCACACTCGCTTGTCTAATGCAGTCAGGAGAAGGACATTAGCCTGGCTCCACTGGGGGAATTGCAAGGACCAGAGTACTTGTCCTGGTACATGAGGCTGCCATAGGAGAGGGTACCCACTTATATGGGACTAGCTGGGTGTGTGTGTGTCAAGGTTCTTACTGAGAGGCCAAGTGGCAGCCACAGGCTAGCCACATGTGTGCATATAATCTAAGCATTTTATTTGCATCACTGATTTTCATGGCACCACATCATGGGGGCACTTACAAAGAATAGAAATAAATAGCTCTTCCCTGGACTGTGCAAAATGGCAGCCATGCCATTTACACTATTACAATTCAGCCATAACAATGATACCTGAATACAAATCTCCGCACTATAACAGAATTGTATCATCTTGTTAGACCTTAGGGCCTTCAGATTTCACTTGGGGACAGTCTGGTGCCTGAGAAAGTCTTGTTATGAAATTACATTTTCTTGGGGAACTCAGACCCCACAAATGGAATTTTCCTCAGGTATTCCAGTGTTCTCACGTTGGGGAAAGACAATAAACAAAAGTAAAATAAATTGCATGTTGACTGGAGATAATTATTAAAAAGAAATATTAAAAAGGATTGGCAAGAGAGTGCTGAGGTCCATAGGAGGATGGGAGGAATTCTCTGGAAAGGTGACGTAGCTGATAAGATGTGGCTCTTCCTGGTTAGAGGACAAGGACGGCTCCTAATTATACCTTCAGAATTGAGTGTATTAGAAATGAGTGTTTCACAGGCCTCACAACTTGCTTTCAGAAAATGGGCGGGGCAGAGTGAGCCATGTGGCTTTCTGGGGAACAGCATTCCAGACAGCGGAACTGAGATAGGGGTGAGCCTGGAAAATCTGAGGGGCAAAAAGGGGGACAGCATGTCTGGTGTAAGTGAAGGGACTGCTGTGGGAAAGGAAGTAGGAGAGATAACAGGGCAGGGCAGGGTAAACCATTCAGGGCCTCACAGGGCTTAAATGTTTACTCGGAGTAAGATGTCAACTTCTGTTAAGTGCCTGCTCTGTTCTTAACACTAGCTGCTGTAGAGATCAGTAATAAAAAAATTAAAAACTGCAGAGTTCATTATCTAGTTTGGGTCCATTAACAGTCTGAGGAGGG